ACGGCCGAAAGCGCAACAGGGAAATGGCAAATCACAGCTCAGGAACTAATCGGAGTTGTGCAAGTCGGCGAACGACACGAATTAGCGACCTCCTCGCTCAGACAGGGCCTCCTTGGAGGGGTGGGAGGGGCACGAAACCATGTAAATAGCATGGGTTTCCGATACCCTCCTCGCTCAGGCGGGGCCTCCCTGGATCAGGATGTGGGGAAGCACGAAACCATGTAAATAGTAAGGGTATTCCGATACCCTGCTCGCTCAGACGGGGCCTCCCTCGAGGGGTGGGAGGGGCACGGAACCATGTAAGTAGTATGGGTTTCCGATGCCCTCCTCGCTCAGGCGGGGCCCCCCCTGGAGGGGTGGGAGGGGCACGAAACCATGTAAATAGAATGGGTTTCCGATACCCTCCTCGCTCAGGCGGGGCCTCCCTGGAGAGGTGGGAAGGGCACGAAACCATGTAAATAGTATGGCGTTCCGATACCCTCCTCGCTCAGGCGGGGCCTCCCTGGAGACGTGGGAAGGGCACGAAACAATGTAAATAGTATGGTTTTCCGATACCCTCCTCGCTCAGGCGGGGCCTCCCTGGAGGGGTGGGAAGGGCACGAAACAATGTAAATAGTATGGTTTTCCGATACCCTCCTCGCTCAGGCGGGGCCTCCCTGGAGGGGTGGGAAGGGAACGAAACCATGTAAATAGTATGGTTGTCCGATACCCTCCTCGCTCAGGCGGGGCTTCCCTGGAGAGGTGGGAAGGGCACGAAACCATGTAAATTGTATGGGTTTCCGATACCCTCCTCGCTCAGGCGGGGCCTCCCTGGAGGGGTGGAAATGGTATTGATATGGGAGGCGGGAGGCGGGAGGGAGAAGGAGAGGATGTTCTGGGAAAACAAAAACCACACTCAGGATGTGGAGAATAATAAGAATAATAAAAAAACGACATCCGCACCTACAGCATCATCATCATCATCAGCATCAGCAACATAATCGTCATCCTCATAATCAGTAGCATCACTACCTTCATCATCTCTGAATCCTCCGAATTCAAAATCCAGTTCCTACCCGCCACTTGGAAAACGTACGCCGAAACATGGAATGCGAAGGCGGATAAAATGGATTGGGTTCGGGCCCGCCCAGGGAGCAGCACAACACAACAAAAACGTATCGACTCTTTTGGGTAGGGAGGCGCTGGGAAAATATTGAGATCTGGGAGTCCATAAATCTCCACGTTCACCGACCAGCGCGTAGTCCTCCTGCTCCTTTTCCTCCTCGTCATATTTTTCCTCGTCCTCCTCCTTCGTCTTCGTCTCCGCATTCTCATTCGGAATCGTATGATGATTCCGACCACTATTGATAATAATTGTGAGTGCTCGTCTTATGTATAATTACTCTCGGCGGTAATCCTAGTATGCGTCGTATTTTTTCCCTGTGTGTGCATACTATCAGGATTCGCAACAATATTGGGCGGATCAAACTTATTACTGCAATTCGTATGATTTAACATTGCCAATATTACGATGGACGCTCGCATCATGAATACGTTTCGTCTTTGTATTGTTCGCATGTTGTGTATTATTATTGTGACTTGCTCTCTTCCTCCTCCTCCTCCTCCTCCTCCTCATTCCCCTCACCCTCACCGTGACGCTGCTTTCCGCCTATCATCAGCTTTGGTACAGCCCTCACACGCTCCGTGGCCCCACAGGGAACTTCACCTACGGCCCCAGTGGCAGGGTCCGCATGGCAACGTCATGCCCGAATCGGTACACCCCTCGCTGGGGGGAGCGAGAAAGTACTGATACCGCTACTCACCAGACCTATCCCCAGGTGCGCTCTGACAAGAATTTCGAAGCGAACCCAGCCGTGGCGACGAGGGCAATCCAGCATTATCAGCGGCAACGGTGCAGGGAAATTGCAAGATCACGAAACATCACGACCCGAACCCTAGACCTAGACTTCATCTCAATGCCATCTTTTTCGACGTGGATCGACCTGTAATGGCCCTGGGGCCCGAAACCGGGCGCCCACGCCCGTTGTGCAACCATACGACGCCCCGATCTCAAGGTTTGCCTCCTCTGGCTCACACGGTTCGTGGCCCCGTGGGGGAATCCATCCGCGGCCCGAATTAGAGGCCTTCTAGATGGATCCGACTAGATGGGGTCGGAGGATCTGGCCACATCGCCGGTGCATCGCCGATGCATAACCGATGTGTGGGTGGCGCCCGCGATGCATCGGGCACGTCGACGTGGAGCACCTCGGGCCCCACATCGAGCCGCATCGCCGCTGCGTCGGGGATCTCGGCGCGATTCAGCTCCGACCCCATGCCGGTCCGACCCCATCCATAGGAGGCCTAAAAAATCTTTCTCCTGTGACTTATTGTCTTCGTGGCCCTGTGGGGGAATCTTTGGAATCCCGAAACGGTGCGACGACAGAGCATGCGGCGACCTCGAAATGCCCCAAAACCTCACTGCGCTGTCCGTCGCCGCCGCACGGTCTTGGGACCTCGGATCCCCCATTCGCCCGAGACGTCCTCGGAGAGGGCCTCGAATCCCAAAACCGTGCGGTGACCTCGGACCCCTACCGACTCCATTCTGCTCCGACCCCATCTCGGAGGCCTAGAAGGTTCCCCTATTCTGACCCGCGCGCTTCGTAGCCGTAGGTCGGGCGCCCCCCCACTGGCGGCTTTTGGGCGAAAAATGAAAATACCCCAAAAATGCACCAATATAGTCAAAACGAATCCGCCGACCCCTTGTGGGTCTCTAAGAACGTGAAATCCCCCCCCCATCATCCCCCTCCAGGGACCCCGAACCGGCAATTCGACGTCGTCGTCGTCGTCGCCGTCGCCGTCGCCGTCGCCGTCGCCGTCGCCGTCGCCGTCGCCGTCGCCGTCGCCGTCGCCGTCGTCGTCGTCGTCGTCGTCGTCGTCGTCGTCGTCGTCGTCGTCACCGTCGCCGTCGCCGTCGCCGTCGCCGTCGTCGTCGTCGTCGTCGTCGTCGTCGTCCTGTTCCTCCTCCTCCTCCTCCTCCTCCTTTTCCATATCCTCTTCCTCCTCCTCCTCCTCCTTCTCCTCCTCCTCCTTTTTTCGTCGAGCCCTCGACGAAAATGTTCAACGGAACCCGCGACGCCCCCATGCCAAGCTCAACGAATCCGCCGACCCCTTCTGGCTCTCCACGCGTGTGAGGCTCTTCCCCTCCAATGACCCCCCCCCACGCACCCCGGTCCTGGATGTTCCCCTCGCCCCCAGCTCTCTCTGGAACTCCACGACAGCCGCTGGACGCTCCCAAAGGGCCCCCACAACAACTCACCAGAACCCCGAGCCGCCAAATGATCGTTCGAAGACGCCAAAGATGGCACCCACGCGGCTCAAGATGCCTCCAAGAGTGCTCCGGGACGGCCCTACCGCAGAATCCAAACGGCAATGTGAACCCGCGGGCCTCCACAGAAACAGCATGAGGCCCCCAGAAGCTCTCCAACAATGGTGCCAGGACGCCCCCGCGAAAAGAACCAGGAGCCCCCCCCCCCCCAAAAAAAAAACAACCGCTGAGCACCACATATATTCTTGGCCACCGGCGACGCTCCATCTCGAACGTCCGCTGCTGGGTCGCAGCCGCAGCGCCTCGACCACCTAACTATACCGTGACCCGCGGGACCACGCATGTGCTCAAAACAGACTCCCACACACCCAACCCCCCTTAAAGGGGTCGGCGGATGTGGCGTAAGCCTAGAGAATCATTTTGTGATGCTCGCCCACTCGGCTTTCACAGCGTCCAAAATAAGCAAAGAAACCTCCAACGTCGCCCCCAGACGGCAGAAGGGGCCCCAAATAAGGCTCGAAAAGAATCAGACAACAGCCCACGAAACCCCCAAGACAGCCCAGGCGGGCCCCCAGACGGCTCCACAACGGAATCCAGAGGGCACTTTTTCGAGCCTTCGGCCCCGAGAGGCCCCCAGCCTGCTCCAAAAACACCCCAAAGGGCCCTGAGGGACCTCCACAAAAACCTCCGAAGCCTCCACGAAGTCCCCCAGAAGCCCCAACACTGCCTGCACGACGACCCCGTCCGGCCTCCCACGAAATCCTCGTAACCGTCCGTGTGGCCGCAAACCTGCAACCCAAGCAAAGTGGCGGGATGCGCCGCGTCCTATTCGAGAACCACTCGTCCGGTTTTGGGACCGACACTTGCCGTCTACGAGCGCGGGTGTTCTCAGGCATGTATCCATGTCTGCACGGCGAACACTTCGAAAGTCAGCCACGCAAAACGCACTGACCACGAAGTATCCCTCCACCATCTGACATTGCCCTCGCCTCCAGAGCGCTCCGAAAAGACCCCGCGAAACACCTCTCAGATTCTGACCCCCTACCAAACCGGCTTGGACCGGCGGCCATGACAAATTGCACGGTCCAGACACCTGCACAGGGTCTCGACATCCAGGGCGACGCACGCGCTGTCCAAAGTGTCGGACATTTTTCTAAACATCAATCAGAGACAAGAATACACGCCTCCAAACCAAATCGTCCCTCCTCCTTCTTCTCCTCCTTCTCCGATGACCCTCCTCCGCCTCTCCCCCGCCCTCGCCCGCCTCCTCCTCCTCCGCTTTCTCCTGCTTGGCTTTCCTCATTAATCGGTTTCGTCCTCCCTCTCGCTTAGTCGTACTTCTACGGATCGTGGCGCCGGCGCTCGCATGGGTATCATGTGCATGCCTTGCATTTCGCGGTGCCATGCTTTCCGTCGCGCGCGACATTGCTATTGCCCACGGAGGGAGCCCTCCCACCCAAAGAAACAAGACAACACAAGTACGCCCCAGGACAGCAACGCGACATCCCCAAGTCGATCAAGGGGTCGGCGGATGTGGCGTGAGCCTATAGAATCAAACAAATTGCCCAAAAACTATGTGTGGACTATGTCTTAATATTCCTCCTGTAGAGGGAGAAGCCCGACGTCATCGCAGCTCCGTGGGGAATTCCGTCCACGGCCCCAGGTGGCAGAAATTCCCCGGGCGGCGGTGCGGCGCCTGCTCGCAGGAGTCGTCGGCCGCCGCGGCGGGCAACGACACGGCCAGGCTACACACGGCGCCGGCGTGGAGGAGGGGAAAGCAAACGGCCTCGGCGCGCCTCGTCCTCCTCCTCCTGCTCCTCCTCCTCGTCCTCCTCCTCCAAAGTCCTCCCCTCCCCCTCCTCCTCCTGCTCCTCCTCCTCCTCCTGCTCCTGCTCCTCCTCCTTCTCCTCGTTCATCCCCTCCCCCTCCTCCTCCTGCTCCTCCTCCTCCTCCTCTTTCTGCTTCTCCTCATCCTCCTTATGTTCCTCCTCCCACCTCCTCCTCCTCCTCCTCTCCTCCTCCTCCTCCTCTCTTCCCCCCTCCCCCTCCTTTCCCCCTCTCCTCCTTCCTCCTCCTCCTCCTCCTGCTGCTCCTCCTGCTGCTCCTCTTCCTGCTCCTCCTGCTCTCCCTCCTCCTCCTCTCTCCTCCTCCTCTTCCTCCTTTTTCCCCCCTCCCCTCCCCCCTCTCCTCCTCCTCTCCTCCTCCTCCTCCTCCTCCTCCTCCTCCTCTCACCACCACCACCACCACCACCACCACCACCACACCACCTCCTCCTCCTCCTCCTCCTCCTCCTCCTCCTCACCACCACCACCACCACCTCCTCCACCTCCTCCTCCTCCTCCTTCTCCTCCTCCTCCTCCTCCTCCTCCTCTCCTCCTCCTGCTGCTCCTCCTTCTGCTCCTCTTCCTGCTCCTCCTCCTCCTCCTCTCCTCCTCCTCCTCCTCCTCCTCCTCCTCCTCCTCCTCCTCCTCCTCCTCCTCCCTCCTCCTCTCTCCTCCTCCCTCCTCCTCCTCCTCCTCCTCCTCTCTCCTCCTCCTCCTCCTCCTCTCCTACTCGTCCCGTCCTACTCCTCCTTCTTATCGTCCCCTCCTCCTCCTCATTCACCCCCCCTCCCCTCCTCCTCTCCTCCTCCTCCGCCTCCCTCCTCCTCCTCCTCCTCCTCCTCCTCTTTCCTCCCTCCCCTCTCCTCCCCCTATTTCTCCTCCTCCTCCTCCTCCTCCTCCTCCTCCTCCTCTTCCTCCTCCCCCGTAGCCATTTTGGCTCAAGACGGGACTCCTCCCCGTCCCTGTTCCAGAGGCCCGAGGTCGAGGTGGAAGGGCAGCCCCTTCCTCAGGCCTGGCTGCCTCGGCCAGCTTTTACCGCCACGAATTTGTCTCTAGCAGCCCCGCGGGGCCACCGCCATAGCCGCCGCCTCCTCGCTTGTGCCTGGCTGTTGGTGCAGGCGGCATGGTGCGCGATGAGCCGGCCGCTGGGGCCAGCCGTCGCGACCGTGAGGGGCGTGACCGTCGCACGTCCAGAGCCAATCACATGCCAAGAGAGGTTACATGGTCTACTCGACACCATCTTGCGGGGGATGGTCCTGGGCCGATCTTCAGCACCGCCATTGTATGAGATGCGGAGCCAATTTTGCTACCTCGGCCCACCCGCCTCTTCGTGACCCTCATCGAAGAGCAGAGCCAACATATGGTCTCGAACCGACGCCCACTTCGATGACAGCGCTGCAGACGAGCCCGACGGTGCCACAGACCTGGACCCAGTCGCCCTCTGCATCAAGGCGGTCGTCTTCTGGCGCAGAATCGAGGGAGTGGACGGCCAGCACTACAACCAAGCGCAGGCGGAGCTCAAGGCGGCCAAGGCAACGGCCTTGGCGTCCAAGTTGGCAGATCAGCAGACGCAGAGTCTCAACGCCCAGCTCACGGTCCAGCGGGAGCGCCTCGCGGGCAAGCAGCATGACGCGCAATAATACATGGACAAAAAAGGGAGTTCAGCATCCAGTACACGCAGGTGGCCAAGGAGTGTTCTGAGATCTGGACAGGGATCCAGTAGTTGCAAGCCCAGATCAAGGTTGCAGCGACGGCGGCCGTGGCGAATCACGTCCCGACCGAGACAGCAGCCGACGCCCTCGCAGCCTTTGTCGAAGCCAAGTTCCGCGGCCTGGCCTTCACCGCAGAGTTCCGGCAGGAGATCGACGCCGTGGCCGCGAAGCTCCACTCGGAGTACAACGAGGTCGCCGCCGCCGCCACAGAGGCGCCGCCGCCTGCGGCGCAGGAGGCGCGCCCGAGAGCGGGCCAACTGCAGAGGTCTCGCCCGATGCGCGCGCGGCGCGCCACTTCGCAGCAGAGACGCCGCGAGGGCCCCCCGCGGGCGACGCCGGACCCGAGGCGCGCCGAAACTCGCCCAGACTACGCCAGACGATGCCGCGCCCGAGCCACAGCCAAGCCGGGCACCCTGCGAGGACGTCTCGAGCGAAACCGCGGCCAAACCAGGGCAAACCAGACAATTTGGGAGGGCGTCGCAGCCGAAACAGCGCTGAAACCAAGCGAACCCAAGCATATTCCGAGGACGTGAAGCCAGGCCGAAACCACGCGAAACCGGGCAAATTGCAAGGACGTCTCGGGCGAAACCGCGCCCAAGCCAGGCGAAACCAAGCAACTTCCGACGGCGTCGCAAGCGAAACCGGGCCGAAACCAAGAGCAACCAGGGGCGAAACCAAGCGCGTTTCGAGGATGTCAGGAGGTCTGCGCCGCCCAACCGGGCCAAACCAAGCGAGACCAGACGAAGCCGGGGGCGAAGCCAAAGGAACTGCGAGGGCGTTCTGGGCAGCATCCCCGGAACAAGCCCCCCCCCCCCCCCCGCGAGGGAATGCGTGGCCCAAAGGGCCCCTCCCCCAGCAGGCGCAAGCCCGCTTGCGATCGAACGGGGGGGCGCGTGGACCGCGCGCGGATGGCTTCGTCACGCGGTCGCTGCTGGGGCAACGGTGTGGCGTGAGGCATGTGTGCTCCGAGCCTGAAACTGCCCCTGCCGCGCGGGGCCGTCAAGCTCGAAGCAGCATGGGCGGCTCGGCAGAGAAATTGGAGCCGCCGCGAACGATGACGAGCGTCGTCTCGGGACTTGCGCGCTCGGCCGTCTAGCCTGCTGAGGTACGGTCGATGAGTCTGTCTCTCCTCCTGGCCGTAATGTCATGGTTGTGGATGTGCTGCAGTGAGCAATCTGGACTGTCTCCCCGGGCGCGAGCTGGGGCCTCGAGCCCCCCTCCCTCCGCCTCGACCCAGACGTTCAGCTCGACGGCCGTCGGGAATTCAAGCCCCAGGCAGCTGAAGTCAGGAAAAAAGGCGGCAACTCCTCCTCCTTCTCCTCCTCCTCCTCCTGACTCTCAGACACCCCTGAATGATGACATAGAGCTCCAGCGTTCCAACAAGACGCGGTGAGCCACGTAGGGCGGGGACAAAGCCTAGGAGCGAGTGGCACCCAGAGGCCCCGGCGTCCCGAGGGAAAGAGGGAAGCTGTAAGATCCTACAGACTCAGATGACCCAGAGGGCCTGGAAATTCGTGCGCGCCTGGAACACGCCGACGGGTTGGTCGGAATCGCAATGGGCGGAGACCTCGGTCTTGGGGGCCCAGAGAAAACGGGGAAGAGGCGGGGGCATCTGCTGGCGGACTCGACGTGGGCCCACCAGCCTACGCGCGCATCTCTGCGCTAAAGACTCCACTGAACTGGTGCTGCAGCCTGCGAGACAAGGGCGGGCGCAACCACTTCTGCGAGCGCAACCCGCTTCTTCTGACTGCTTGGAGGGGGACCCCTGACCGCATCTGGGCTGTCGACTTACCGGGATCAACGTGCAGCTCGAACCAACGACCGTCTGCATCGGCGACTTCTGAGCGATGCCAGTCTCCAGGACCGCGCTTGAAGCACACGCGGCCGGCCTAGGTCCTGCGCGAGGCAAGCGCAGCACCACTTTTGAATTCAATACCGGAGCGCTTCGCTTGGGGCTCTCAGACCCAACTTCCTGCACCTGGTGACAATGAACGAGGGGTTGGGCTCGCGATGTGAGCCGAAACCAATCTTGATGTCGGGCGCCTCCGTTGTCATGATGCCGAGCATCTCCTCAGAGGCCTTGATACTGTTCTCCAAGGCTTTCCTGTAACGTTCGAGCCTCGCCTGACGGTTCTCAACAAAACCCATTCGTACTTCCACTTGTTTGGCCAGTGAACCGCAGGACTCCTGGACACAAGGTGCAACGCGCGTTGAGCGGGGGGCGGACACGGGAAAACGGCCCGAGCCTGAGCCTCGAGGGGGGGGGGCGGGGGGAGGGGCAGGAGGACGAGGCGGAGGGGGAGGGGGAGGAGGAGGAGGAGGAGGAGGAGGAGGAGGAGGAGGAGGAGGAGGAGGAGGAGGAGGAGGAGGAGGAGGAGGAGGAGGAGGGGAGAGGAGGAGGAGGAGGGGAGAGGAGGAGGAGGAAGAGGAGGAGGAAGAGGAGGAAGAGGAGGGGGGGGGATGCACATGAGCAGCTTCCTCTCAAACTCGTCCACGTGCTTGCGAGTCTCGTAGACCCACTTCTCGCCTTCGGGGAATGTGGGCGGCTCCTAGAACTTTCAGGATTCTTGACGTACCCTGGCGTCAGATGGTCTCCGCTTCCTGTCCCACCACCTGCGCGACAAGGCAACTTACGGTCAGGGGCTTCAGGATGTGCGCGGGCCCCCTCCACCGCCTGGCCGAGGAGCACCTGCACCTTGCAAACCAGCAACAGGAGCATGAGAAAAGGTGCATCGGCTGACATCGCGCCGTCTTTGGCAAAACCACTGGGTCTGCAAGACTTCCCTTCGAGAGGTAAACTGACTGGGCGAGTAAAGCGCACAGGAAACACCGTTGTGGACGAACGAACGTCCCTGCGAGCAGGGTGGATCGTGCGCAAAATCTGGCCTCCTCTAAGCCTGAATCGGTCGGAGCCAGCCCCTTGGCTGCACACAAGCTCACGCCGCCAGGGCCAGCGGTTCGACCTTGAGCCAACATGGCTACGGAGCCTCCCCATTTGTCCTCCTCCTCGCACGTGGCATGCGCATCCAGGCCACGTTCACCGCAGCAACTGGAACCTCCGTAGAAGATCGCACGGGCCGCAGACTAGGACAAAGCGACGTGCTGCTCCGCTCATGTGGCAGCAGCAGGGATGGTGAGAAACGACCCCTCTTTGTCCTCCACCTCCTCCTCCTCCTCCTCCTCCTCATCCTCCTATTCCTCCTCCTCGCCCTCGCCCTCGCCCTCCCACTCCTCACCGCCCACCTCCTCCTCCGCCTCCTTCTCCTCCTCCTCCTCCGCCTCCGCCTCCGCCTCCTCATCCCTTTCCTCCAAGCCTCTTCCTCCTCCTCCTCCTCCTGCTCCTGCTCCTGCTTCACCTCCTCCTCCTCCACCTCCTCCTCCTCCTCCTCTTCCTCCTCCTCCTTCCCCTCCTCCTCCTTCTCCCCCTCCTCCTCCACCTCCTCGTCCTGCTTCTCCTCCTCCTCCTCCTCTCCTCCTACTCCTCCTCGCTTTCCTTTTGCCCTCCTTTCCTCCTCTGCCCTCCCCCCTCCCCGCGCGCCCCGCCCCCGCCGGCGGAGCGGGCAGCGGCGCCTCGAGTTCGGGGTGCCACCGCTCGATCTGGCGGGCCGAGGGGGGCGGGGAGGAGGAGGATCGGGGGGAGCAGGATCGGGGGGAGGGAGAGGGGGAGGGAGATGAGCAGGCGGATGAGGACCTCCGAAGACCGAAGAGGAGGACGCAGGAGGAGGAGGAGGAGGAGGAGGAAGCGGGGGAATGAGGGAGGAGGAGGAGGAGGAGGAGGAAAAGGAGGAGAAAGAGGAGGAGGAGGAGGAGGAGGAGGAGGAGGAGTCGAGGAGGCACTTCCAGGAACAATATTGTAGGTCGTTAGTTGGCATTCGCTGGGCCGGCCTTGACCATCACGGCCACCACCATCAGCAACACCATCCACAAAAAAACAAGAACACCAACACCACAGCAGTCGTAAACATCACTACCAACACCACCGATAACATTATTTATAACCATCATCATCACAGTAATGTCATGATCAGTTGGTCCGTGGGTCCACCAAATAGTTTAGCCGTCTGGTGTATCGTGGGCCTGTGTCCCCACCGAAGGCCTGCGAACCTCCGCCGACCTCTGGAGACCTCGTCTTTTTCCTCCCCCTCCTCCTCATCAGCATCAGCATAATCATCACCATCATACTCACCAGCAACATGACCAGCATTCCCATCATCATCGTCGCCGCCGTCGTCATCATTTGCATCATCATCCACATCATCGTCACCATCCTGAGCCTCATGATCATCCTCACCATCAGCATTGTCAACAGCACCATAATCATCGGCAGCGTCCTCAGTAGCACCATCAGCGGCACCACCATCATGCTCCTCGTCATCGTGAGCACCTGCACCCTCACCATCGTCAGCAACAGCAGCACGATCTTCACCATCCTCACCAGCCTCGCCATCATGATTATCAGCATAACCATCGTCATCCGTAGTACCATCGTCATCGTGATACACCAGCATCATCATCATCAGCGGACTCAGCAACAACATCATCGTCAACAGCATCATAATCATAATCGACGTCGGCGTCGTCATCGTCTCCATCGTCACCGTCATGGCCACCATCATCACCACCACCACCATCACCATCAAAGTTCGCATCGTCAGCACCATCAGCAACATCTGCATCAACATGGTCACCAGCAGCCACCACATAATATCAATCAGCGGCAACATCAGCAACATCACCTCCACCTCCGTCGGAAGCACCAGCAGCATCCACATCCCTATCCTGATTAACATATCCTGCGCATGCCAAAGTTGCATGAGGCGAGGGTCGTCGCAGAGAGCTGTGGCTCTCGAGCGCTGCTCGGTACGCGGTGCCTGCGAGGGTGCCGGCACAGCGAGGACTGGCGGCATGCGGGGGCAACTTTATCATGACATTCAGCTGCCGCGAGATCTTCGGCCTCGCATTCGTCAGAGAGCGGCTCCGGATCGGCAAGCTGCCCTAGCAGCTGCTCGCCCCCCCCCCATCCGACCTGGGCGCGGCAATGCGGGTAGGGGCGGCGCGCGCGGCTGGCAGAAATCCACCACTAACAAATGTGATCGGTATCTCGTTCACGCGCTGATCGTCTCGAGCCAGCGGCCCACTTCGCCCTCGAACCAGCCCGCTGGCGCCACCCCTTTGCGGTGAATCGCTGCGCCCTCGGCCCTCGCGACCATGAGAGACCGCCCCTGCCGGCCGGGGGCGCCGACTATGACCTTCGTTGCGGCCCCGGCAGGCCAGCTCTGTCGACGCTGGGCTCCGCCGCCGCCTCTGCCAGGCAGCGCTTCAAAAGAAGCGCCTCGACGTCGTTCTTCGCCGCGCCGCCGACGTCGCACATCATCAGGCCCTCTAAGGCCGCCGGCGCTAAGCTGGTTGCGGGGGGGCCGATGTCCTCCGCCCCCCTCTTGCCCTCGGCCCCCTGCGCGCGGGGAGACGCGAGCAATCCTTTGTGCCCCATCGAGCTCCTCGGTGATCTCGATCACCATGTTGTGATTCGTCGGCATCGTGCATGTGTCTATCGAGACGGAGGGGGCCGTCTGTTGCACGAGTTTGAGTGTCGCCTGGGGGAGCGCCAGTAGGTTATTGTCCTTGCTGCTCAATGTCTTGACCAGATGCTTGCCTCGGCGGGCTCTCTCTCCTCCCGCGTTGGCGCTTCGGCCTCCTGCGTCGGTAGCCGTCCTCCTCGCCCTCGCCCTCCACTGTCGCTGCCGCTGCTCCTCGAGGCGGCGGAGGGCCCGCGCGCCCGGGCATGGCCGCTGGTGGCGATCCTTAGGCCCCCCCCCGAGCTCGGCCCAGATGCCGGCGAGGCCTGGGGGGGGGGCTCAGAGGGTGGCGCCGCGCAGCCCTCGCGGAGGGTAGAGCCTTCGCATTCGCCTCGTCCACCGCGCTCTCTGGCATCTTCGCGCTGGGGCGCAGCAAATGGTGGAGGTAGTGTCGCGGTCGCCGCTGCTGGTCGCGTCGACGCTGGGGCTCGGGCCGCCGCGCTTGCTGTCGTCGTTGCTCTCGAGGCGCCGGCGCTGACTGGTTTCGCAGGATCAAGGGCCTTCGCGCGAGCAGGCAGCGGGCGTCGGTCGACAGCGCGTCTCAGCTCGCGCCTGGCCGCCAACGTGTCCCCCGCCGCTCGTAGGAGACGCGGCGGGGGCGGCGCCGTGGGGAGCCCGCTCGAATGTTGCGCGGCGGAGCCAACAGCGTCCCTACGAGAAGCGGCCTTGAGTAGCGAACCCGATGGCGACGGAGGAATGTGGGTGGCTGCGCGTTGCCGTAGCTCCTCAGGATCGGAATCTTCAGGGATGCATGTCGAATCCGCTTGATGCTCAGCTATAGGACATGTCGTACATGTTGTAGAAGCCCATGTATATACATGGTGTGTGAGTTCCGCGATGCACCTGCTATGTAGCCACGATCGTCGATAGCGTCGTACAACATGGTCCACGTTGGAGAATGTCGTATTGCATGCAATGCACTTGTTGTCATACTGTAGGGCTGTAAATATTTGGGGCTGTCCGCGTCCTTCAGCTTCGCTTTTTAATTTGATGATTTACCAACTGTCGCATTGCACCAAACCGGAGACCGCGCCCAGGGAGTCCGCATCCGAGAGAAGGAAGGAAGTCATCGCCAACGTCGGTCTGAGCCTGCTGATTCTGGGGCGGGGCGGTCTCAGAGATCGCGTTTCCCTCGAGGGGGGGGGGTCCGCCGGCCCGTCCAGGTGCCTGCGCGTGGCGGCTGAATATCACATAGAATAACAGCGTCACGAATGTCGCCATCGATGCGAAATGAGGCGCTCGAGGTCAGCCGAGAGCTGGCGCGCCCATGGATGAGCGCGCTCGTCAATTTCGCCCTGCTCATTGGGGGTGGAGACAGACGCAGGTCGGTTGCATGTGACCGCCTGCTTCTCAAAATCACATATCTTCCAAAAAAGACCGCGAGGAACTGACCATGGTGGCTGGCGTTGCTGACGATGTTCTGCCACCATCTGGGACGCGGCGCTACAAGTTCGATTGCAGTGGGGGCCACTTGCCGCCCTCGAAAAATCTGGAGCGTCGTCGTCGATCGAGAATGATCATCAGGGCCCTGGTGACGCGTGGAGAACCAGTAGTCGCCCAGCCGAGCCCGGCCTATGTTGCCTGATATGATACGTTCGTGCAGTGCACGCTGCGAGTGTAAAGATACGCGCAGGCGCCCTCCCATGCGCGTGAGCTCTTGGACAGCCTTACCCAGGATAAGTCGCTCAGCTTCTTTAGTGGCCGATCGGCTGGCTAGGCCAGCCCCCCGCGTTGTAGTTCCCGGGGTAAGCTCGCGCGGTCGATCTCATCTAGCAGCAAAACCTGGTGGGCGGCCCCGTCGGGCACCAATCTAATATTTCGTAAGTCGTCGGCGAAGGCGCCCCAGTGCCCGCGGAGAGCCTGCTCGGTGAATGGGCGCGCCACTTGAAAAAGCCCTCCCAGTCCTCCACTAATGGGTAAACTGATCGCGTTGAAAGCTGGGGTTCGCTCCAGCTCCTCATCCTTCCTCTCGTGCCGAACCGAAGTGCGAGGGTAGCGCTGGGAGCCCGAATGAAGACAACTGCCTCGGCACCGCGCGCGCGACAAAGAGTCGGGCATGATCGCCCGTGGCGAGGGCATTGCGCGCGCCATAGCCCTCGGCCAGGAAAGATATGCATGCTGCTCTCAGCTCCCAGACCATCAGTTTCGCGATGAGCGCGCGACCTTCGCGTCGCTGGGAACGCATGCCTCCGCGGGCCCACGACGGCGCACCGCGCAAGGGCCCGTGCTCAGTCAATCCGATTCGAAGAAAGGCGCCAGCAATAATCAACACAATGAAGAAGCTGCACGCGCTGATGTATATCCCGAACAGGGCGCCCTGTTGGGACCTTGCCTATCTTGCCGATCGCGATGGCGTGGTTTGCGCGGGCTTGAGCTGGCGCCCCCGCGGCGCGTCTCACATGCGCCGATAATTAGTTGGACGAAAGCCAATGTCACTTTGTAGCACGTGTGATCGTCCAGTTGGAGTCGCCGTCGATCAGGTCGAGGAAGCTCTTCCAGCAGCGGCTGTATCTGAACGCGGCGCCCACCCCCAGACCTGTGCGATCTGGCCCAGGTCGCGCGAGAAACTTCGGCGTGAGCATCATGATCGCCAGCTCGATAGGCCAGGCCCAGGGTGGGTTGTGTATTCGTCGGCTCTCGCGCCAGATGCGTTTCTGAATCGTTTGTAGTTCGGCGTGGCTTCCTCGAGGTCCTCGATGGTGGGTGCGCCAAAATTGTCGCCAATCGGTTACGTGGTGTCATTTTTCCAACAGTCGTGAGATCGCCGATGCGTCGTCGATGTACATGCTGGAATATGCCTTGGTCGCCGTCGCCCCACCGTTGGTCGCGTCAGCTGCCGGCGCCTGTTTGCACTCGCATGCCGAAGGTCGCGCTGGAGGAAGAGATGCAACAAAAGGCACCCCCGCGGTCCCGCTCGACGGCCAACTCGACACGGGGTCAAACGTGACAGCCATGACAAGTCGCGCGAAGCCCATGCTTGTCTAATGTCGCTGTCGAGGCTCACGCGCCACCAATGGTTCA